AGACAGAGAGAGAAGGGGAGAGACAGAGAGAGAAGGGGAGAGACAGAGAAAATGATATAAAGGGCAGAACAACGACTGCCTGATTCTGCTAGTATGATATACATTTGTTTTCTGGCGTTGTTTTTCTGGCGTTGTTTTCTGTTTGGCGAGCGTTTACACGACACTGCTGGGTCTAAGTTTTTGTTGAATATTTCAGTGATGGTGGATTTCGGAGATAAATGTATCTTGCTGTTTGTACGTTTGGATAAACAATCTCATCCACGTTTTTTAGATTGTGCCCAACTACATTATATTAACAGAAGTAACAGCCAGTACAGTGATTCGTGGGTTCGATCCGTGACATTGGATCCCCGAAACGGAAATATATCTTCTTGGCTTGCGATCATTGTCGGAGTTCTTCCAGATAACAGCATACATTATGTGGAGCCCACGGTTTTTCTTGATCATCTAGTCACACCCTCAATGTGTGCATAATAAACTTTTTTTGCAAACTCAGTAATGTTTCTTGAGACATATATTCCACAAATATAACAAAAGTTATCAGGTGAATTGCGACAGCCTCTTGAGGTCATGTGTACAAATTGTCTACTTCTTCAGAAAAAAAACCCAATGCGATTGCAGGGCAACTACTTCCCGCAAATATTACTTTACTGGAATAACAAACATCTAACGAGTTCTAAAGGTAATCGAGTTCAGAACTTAACAACAGAGAAACTGCAATTCTACAATAACGATCTAATCCACATTAAATAAGAATTTAATGGCATGATAGAGAAATGTATTGATTCTCTAGACCTAACAATTAAAATACCAATTTGTGCAAAAATGATGGGTGATGGAATTTATTATTTTTTTCTGAAACCAGTACACCAAAATTTGTATAAATCAGCTATTAATTTGCAGACTATTTCCGTCACATTTGCTTGGGATGACATAAAAGTGTATTTTTCTCCATACACACAATTATAATACTGATTTGGGCGAAAATGATGGGTGATGAATTTTTTTCATGCTTATTTTCTGAATTCAGATCACCGAACTCAATATAAATCAGCTGTAACTTGGCAGACAATTTTTCAGGTGCAGGCCTGTGTAATTGACTGACCAAAAACGACTTGTTTTATTTTACTTATTTCTCAAACAATGTAATAAATTAAGTTACTTACTGAACCCATTTGGCAAAATTTCATAAAAAACAAACAAAAAAACTAATGTACAGAAAATGTAACCCGCGCTTACCTTTAATTTTACTAAAGGCGATCATTATTCTTTTCTGACGATTTTTTTCTGTTCGCTGAGACTATATATTTTGCGTTCTTAACAGAAATTATCTACATCGTTGACGAAAGGGAACAAATTGTTGGCCATACCACTGAGCTCTTCTATTTTCGTTTGCTTGCCAGGGGTAATTACTTGGTATTTAATGAGCTCGGAGCTGCCTCTGTTCGCGACGTAAGTCGTGATCGAGATTGATGTTTACATCGCAGCGACGGGGAACAAATCAATTAGGTCGCCGCCGCAAAATTATCTTTGTGTAAATCTAAGTACAAACAGCCAACAAAGCGAAACATCGTCATGAAATCTCTATTTACAGAGCTCGCAGGATTTTAAATCCATTTTTGTTTGCAGTGATTGCCACTTATTGGATCAATACGAACCGTCAACTAGGTTATGCTTATTCACAAATAATCTCAATTTTTAATATTAAGAATTGATAGAAATGGTTAAGAAATCAATCAAAAGTGCCACCACTCATGTCAAGCTAATTCATACGCATTTTTGTTCTACGTAGTCAAACGAATTATCTTCATAAAGTTCCAAATTAGGAATCGAAATTCAAAACCAGACTACTAAATAAAGTTAACATGTGTTAATTGGTCCCCAAACCCATCATATATAATTAGGTATAAAATACTCTAAATATGTAATATTTGCAATGGAGATATTGAATGTTTCGTTGCTACAGACAATTAATAAAAAAGTGAACGACAGTAATTTTGTATCTCATGTGCCATTTGTATATCTCTTGTAAAACTTCTGCTCTGCCCACGTGGAAGGAAAGGCATCAAGGTGTCTAATGGCTTCTCATTGGGCTGTCTTCACCCGGATCCAACGGCAGCGCCACCTAGAAGCGCCAGGGCCCTTCATACGCAGCCTGTGCCACAGAGCATGGCAAACGAAGGATTCTTGAGCCATCACTGCGGGTCTCAGCGGGACATACGGCAGTCAACATCTTAACAGTAATCCCAGTGGCGCTTCCAGATAGCCTGGTGTGAAGGCCGCCATTTAGAATTTTGTTCTGCCGGCGCTGACGTGGAAGCGCGGCTGCGCTGCCGGCAGCGGGAGCGCGCAACAGCCGCTAAACTGCGCCAGTCGTGTGAATACCTCCGTTTGAACCAATGCTTTACCAGCAGCAGCGCCACTCGGAAACGTCGATGAGTGGGTCAGTGTGTAAGCCGGTGATGTGCAGGTCTATGCCACCAGCGGGAGTCGGTGACACGGGTAGCATGGCTAAATCACTCTTTCCACGCATTTGTTTACCTCGCCACAGGAGAGCAGTCAAAGTCTCCCCTGAACGTTTTTACGCTTTACACATGAAATACAATTAGGCATGACAACAAGATTGGAACAAGTTGTGAGTGAAGGAAGGACGAATATGCGAGAAAACTTTTGATCACAAGCCATACACACGCCATCATGGTTGATGCATGAGCGAGAGTCTATTGCACCCATTTGAATGGATTCTAAAACATACTACATTTCTGTTTTGAATATTTTGTTTGTAATCTTACAGATTCATTCACTAAAAATCTTACAGATTCATTCAATAAAAATCTTACAGATTGATTCAATAAAAATCTTACAGATTCAATAAAAATTGACACGGGCAGTTTCGTTTAAATCCAACCCAAGGTGCGTGTGGGAGGGTGTGTGGTGGGCGTCACGTACCTGCAGGTGGCGCATCTCGCGGCAGAGCTCGACGACGCGCTGCGTGCCGCGCGTGTTGAGGGTGACGGCGGCGCGCAGCGTCTCGTTGAAGCGCACCGTGGCCGCAGAGTGGAACACCACGGACACGGCCTCGGCGAGGCGCGCGCGGTCGGCCGGCGACAGGCCCAGCCGCGCCTCCGACACGTCGCCGCTCACCGCCACCACCTTGGACAGCACCTCCGGCCGCTCGGCGCGCACGCGGTCGAACACCTGCCGCACACACCCCGATCCATTGGAAACGGCACGTTGAGATAAGTGCACAACGGGCGAAAATCAAACTCACCCCATTAAAAAAACTCATACAACCACCTCTCTCTGTCAAATGCACTGACGCTATACAAATCACTCATTTGCCGCAAATCATTCAGAACACCTGCTGCACACACCCCGATCAATTGGAAACAACACGTTGAGATAAAAGCACGACAGGCAAAAATCATACTCATCCAATTAAAAAACTCATACAACCACCTCTCTCTGTCAAATGCACTAACGCTATACAAATCACTCATTCGCCCAATACTATTATACGCATGCCCGATCTGAACCAATGCCGCCAAAACCAATGTCAATAAATTGCAAGTGTTTCAAAAGAAATATTTAAGATCAATAACAAGAGCACCATGGTTCATTAGTAATAAACAACTTCATAACGATCTAAACATAAATGAAATAACACACCACATAGCGTTCCTATCAAACAACTTTTTACACAGACTTATCCTTCATAAAGGCATCAACTCACTGCAGACTCGGAAAAGATCTCAGATACAAAACCAGAATCGAAGAAGAAAAAATAAACCGAATCACTTTACACTTGTTTCGGCACCAAACGAAAACTTTAGGCAGATGTGCCACCTACAGTTCGCAGCGATCATGAGGGATTTTATACCAGTCGAAGCGTCTATGTATTATATCGTGTGACCAATATACCTCAAAATCTATAACAAATGGACGTAGGGGTTTTCTGTACCAAACGATTCATGTACGTAAATTAGGAGTTAAAATTTAGTGTTTTCGAGCCCTTCGACTGAATCGGTCATTAGTCGTGTGAGTGTAGTGCGAGATATCCGGGAGATGTCAATATCCGTCCTCCGATTGAACGAGAAATCCGTTGCCAACCGAAGTACAAGTAAATTTGCAAATTTTCCCTTGATGGTATGATGGTATCTTTTCTCAGCGGGGCACTGGCATTTCAGAGTATGAGTGTATGTATATATATATATACACACATATATATATATACACATATATATATATACACACATATATATATACACAC